CTATCTATCTATCTATCTATCTATCTATCTATCTATCTATCTATCTACAGTCTATCTGCTTACCCAAAATAGCCCCATCAGGTCCCAGAAACCAGATCAGTAGTGGCAAAACAAAAATCCAGCTATGATATGGTAAAAGGAGTCATCAATGAAAATGTAAGAGAACAGGAAGAAATGATGGGAACAAAGTAGGAAATAAACTGACAAACTGAACTGAATCTGCAGTTTGAGCTGCTTGAAAACAGCTCTGGACTTCTTTTATGCCAGGCTGCCTCCTTACTTTACCTCCCCACACATACATTTTGCTTAATGTAGCATAATTATATTCATTATTTACCCTTGAAAGTCTCCAAGACACAACCTTGAGGACCTTCATAAAACCCGCTAGCTATCTCTTCATCTTCCTTATATTAAACCTAAAGCCCAATGGGATGTAAGTTCGTTTTCTTTTTTATATGTCTAGAACTGAGGATAGTACTCATGTATAACAGGTGTTAAGCAAATATCGGTTGAATTAAAGTCAATTGAAGCATCATCATTCAAGATAAATAAGAAGTCATGTTATTCAACTGTATTCTTTTTCTGTTTTAGCTACTATTGTTGCAATAGCATGATTTTGCACTATCTTCTTAACTCAGATGAAACCAGTTTTTTAGCTACTGGCTTCAGTGATTTGATAGACCCATGTTTTCTCAGTGCATATTGTATTCCCTGCATGCTTTCTCACTCTGTGTGATTCCTGCCCATAGAGGATCTATTCAATAGACTAGAGGCCTTCTAAGTCTTTTAACATTCCATGTATACCAGGGTTTAAATAGGTATTTATGGGTTGGCTTCAGAACCTAAGCACTATTTATAGCATAATTTCAATGGAACAGGATATTCTGGGTTTCAAATATTCAAGACCCATTTTAGAACACATCTTATTTGTGAGTTGGAAGCTTTGTACCTATCTATAGACCTGTATTCATTGATAGTCACTATTTATCATCCTATAAGTGGAAAGTGGAAAGTGGTCAAGAGCCAAGTATCTTAAAAGAAACACAGGGATATGTGAATACCACTTCAGGCTTTAAGAGTTCATGACTAAAAATACAAAATAAAAATGCTAACTTCACTCACAGGTAGCCCGCATTGTTCAAGGAAGTTATGATATCACATTGATTCATTTTATAGCCTGGGTCCCTAATCTTTTATTCCATTTAATGTTGTTTACAGAAAGTTTTCCTTTAATATATATATATATGATCCATATTTTAAAATTTTTATTAATGCTTTTTGTTTTTATATCACAATCATTTCCAGATGTAACTCCACTCCACAGGCTTCCCTTATATCTAAGGAAAAGCAATTAAATAAATTACATGGCATCCTCTTCAGTAACATTCTCAGGGTCCAAGATTGGTCATTATAATTACAATGTATTCTTTTCATTCACATTATTGTAGTTACTCTGTATATTATTTTTCTGGTTCTACTTAGTTCACCCCACATCAGTTCATATGTCTTTCCATGCTTCTATAAATTACTTATATTCATTAGTTCCTATGGTGAAACACTATCACAATAAATTAATGTACCACATAATTTTTAGATCATTCCCTTCATGTGATGCATGTGTTGTTATAGGGAATCTGCCTTCAGGGGCTAGTGTCTCATACTCTTAGTGTCATTCAGCCGTGTCAGTGCTCATGACTGGCCCCAGGATGCTCAAAGCCAGGATTCTGACATATCCCTGAATGTCTAGTCTTTTGCTTATGCTTAAAGTCTTAACCATCCCATCTCCCTTCCCCTTTTGATTTTTGGCTAGGTATTCATTGGGCCATGGAGCCAGCATTATGTGGTGAGAGGGAATGTTTAACATCTCCTGGACCTCATAGATCCAGCAAATGTGGATCTATCACTTCTACTGCCAGTACAATGGCTTAGCTCTTCAGTACCTTATCCGTATGCTGTAGTTCCAACCTCTTTTCAGGTCTTCCTGTCTCAACTCCCTTCTTTCTTAATTCATCTTTCCTGACACCTCCGAAAGAATCTGTCTCACATTAAACGCTAGTCATGTTATGCCTCTTCTCAAAAATCTGTAGTGTCTCCTTTTCCCCTAGGCAGTAAAATTCAAATGACTTTTGCCTGGCATTCAAAGTCCTCTATAACCTGGTATCAGTGTGCCTTTCTTGCCTTATCATGTATTACTGCCCTTTACTTACTCTAGGCTCTAGCCAAACTGGACAGCTCCATGTTCCTGATCATCCAATGAGCTCTCGTGCTTCTTTTTGTGCCTTTGTTCAGGCTGACCCTCTAAGCCTGGAATGTCCTTCCATACTCTCTTTACCTGATACAGTCATATTCATTTTCTAATAAGATATTTCACATTATCTTCTAATTTTTCATTCTTTTGGTTTTGTTTTATTGTTTCTTGATTTCTCATAAAGTCATTTGCTTCCATTTGCTCAATTCTAATTTTTAAGGAATTACTTTCCTCAGTGAGCTTTTGGACCTCCTTTTCCATTTGGCCAAGTCTGCTTTTTAAAGCACTCTTCTCCTTGTGGCTTTTTGGATCTCTTTTACCATTTGGCCTAGTATGGTTTTTAAGGTGTTATTTTCTTCAGAATTTTTTTGTGCTCTCCTTTACCAAACTGTTGACTCATTATTCATGATTTTCTTGTATCACACTCATTTCTCTTCCCAATTTTTCCTCTACCTCTCTTATTTGATTTTCAAAATCCTTTTTGAGCTCTTCCATGGCCTAAAACCAATTCATATTTTTCTTGGAGGCTTTGGATGTAGGAGCTTTGACTTTCTTGTCTTCTGAGTGTGTATTTTGATCTTCCTTGTCACTATAGTAACTTTCAATAGTCAGAGCTTTTTTCTATTGTTTGCTCATTTTCCTAGCCTATTAGTCGACTTTTAAGTTTTTAATAAAGTAGGGCTCTGCTTCCAGGGTGGAGGGTGCACTGTCTGAAGCTTCAGGGATTTTGTATAGCTGTCTTCACAGATACTTCTAGGGATGTGTAAGTTTTCAGTTCTTCCAAGGTGGTATGATCTAAGGAGAGGTGTTTACTATTCTCCTGACCTGAGTCTGCAAGTGACCATAAGCACTCTTTGCTGTTCTGGAACTGTGAGGAGGGTCCCCCCTCCACTGTGGCTGCAAGTTCTGCTATGCTAGTGCTTTTCCTTGCCCTGGGACTTCCACCCAGGACCTAGGTGTGTATGGACAAAGCAACAGAGTCCTGCTTCCATGCCAGCAAAAAGACCCCTGTAATCTCCTTCTGACCAGTGGTTCAACCCCCTTGCTGTCTGTGGGCTGAGAGCTCTGGAAGCAGCTGCTGCCACTGCTGATTCGATCATTCCCAAGGCCTGCTCCTGGTTTGCTGGGGCTGGGGCTGTGCTAGCATGGCCTGCGCTGGACTGTGCTCCTCCCTCACCTATGTCTGACAGACCTTTCCTACTGATCTTCAAAGTTGTCTTTGGCATTTGTGGCCTGAGAAGTCTGGAAACCGCCACTGCTATGAGTGATTCAGTCACTCTGAGGCCTACTCTGGGTTTGCTGAGGCCTGGTCTGTGCCTGGTGTGACCTGTTCCTCTCTCACCCTGGTGCAACAGACCTTTCCTACTGACCTTTCAAGTTGTCTTGGGCTGGAAATTTGTTTCACTCCATCTTTTTGTGGGTTCTGCTGTTCTAGAAGTTGTTTAGAGTTATTTTTAAAGGTATTTGGAGGGGTTTGGGGGAGAGCTCAGGTGAGTCCCCGCCTTTACTCTGCCAGATGACTGCACCTCCAGTAACCTCCATTTTTGCTCATATTCATTTTCAAAACCTTGCTTAAATGCCACATCCTCCAGGAAGCTAACCCTGATTTCCAGCATTTTATTTCTATAATGCTAATACATTTCTTATGTAATATTTTGTGATATAGTTGTCTGTTTGCATTTTATCCCTCTACTAGAATATAAGCTCTTGAGGGCAAATACCACGTCTTAGCTAAACTTTAGAGCACTCATACCATCTTGGACAGTGCTCTGCAAAAAGTTGTTGTTTAGTTGTTTTTTAGTCATGTTCAACTCTTCATGACTCCTTTTGGAGTTTTCTTGGCAAAGATACTGGAGTAGTTTGCCATTTCCTCCTCCAGCTCATTTTACAGATAAGGAAATTGAGGCAAACAAGGTTAAGTGACTTGCTCAGGGTCACATAGCCAGTAAATGTTTGAGGCCGGATTTGAACTCAAGTCTTCCTGACTCCAGGCCTGGCACTCTATCCACTCTATCCACTGCACCACCTAGCTGCCCAACTACTGCAAACAATAGTGCTCACTAAATGTTTGTTGAAGAATTTATAATTCTCTCTGGAACACCATTTATCTCTACATCTTTTCTAGATCTATAATTTAATGACCAAAAAGGATTTGCTTTTTCTCTTAAGGCTTCCATATTCTATGTGTACATGCATGAGTGCATGGGTGCATGCGTGTGTGTATGAGTATGTATGTGTACTGGGAGTGGGGAGGTAGAGGACAGAAGAGGTTATAGATAGAAGAGGGAGTAAAAGGGAAGGTGAAAGGATAGCCTTTAAGGAATTTTCTTAGTTTTTCTTCTTTCATATGTAAGACTTATGAGGAGTGCTGATTTCTGAACTAACAACAACAGTATCTAACATATATTTAGTGTTTTAAGGTTTGCAAAGCTCTTCACTAATATCTCCTTTTATCCTACAACAACATAAGTGCTATTATTACCTGATTTTACAGATGAGGAAACTAAAGCAGACAGAGGTTAAATGAGTTGTTTAAGGTCACACAGCTGTTAAGTGTCTGGTACAGGATTAAAACTCAAGTCTTCCTGACTCCAGGTCCAGTATGCTATCCACTGTGCCACCTTGCTGCCTAGCCTGGATAGCTCAGCAATTTTCTTGTGAAATAAGAATGAGTCCAGTTGTTCACTCTGTTTCTTTTTTTCCATTTCAGGCTGTGCTGAGTCCTCTCATAGCCATTGCCTTGAAAATTTCCCAGATCCATGAGAGAACTGGCCGTCGGGGCCCCACTGTCATCACCTGAACGCTGATCCAGGGCCACAAGACAGCATCAGGAGGGAGAGCTGCCTTTGCTGATGCCTTCTTGCTACCTGTTTGTGCCTTATATGACTTTGAAATGGTGTTTTGTTGTTGGGGGGAGGTGGGTGGGAAAAGAAGACTTCAATTTCATTTCAGCCTTAGCCAGCTGCATTGGCTTAACAATGCAATTGTGTATTTAGTAGTCTGTTAAAGCTGCAATATCTTTTAGATCTTCCCTCATAAGTAACTCACAATCAAGAATTAAACTTCCTTCCTCTCCATCCCTAGATCTCAATAGTCACAAAGAGAAAAGAGGTGAGGTAAGAAACAGTTGAGTGCCCTGTTTGTCTTATACTAGATCAACATGACAAAAGGTTCAGAATTTAGGAGAGAAAGTAAAGGCAGTGTCAGTGTGGAGGGTGCTAGATGAATTTAAAGACCACAGACAGCTGTGGACAACTCAGAAGTAGGTACCCAAGGCAACTGGAGCTCAATAGTTTGTAGGAGGATTCCAGTGTCTACAGCAGATGAGATTCCAATGTGACTCTCCCCAGCAGACCCCATTGATCACCAGCTGCCCACTCCCAGCAGTCCTTCTCTTCCTGTCTTCTTTTCGATTCCCCACCAAAGCTTCCTCTAAAAACACACTTGCACTCTTCCAACAGTACATATCAATGGGATATTTCTCCCCCATTTGCTTTCTAAAGATTGGTATTTCAACCAAAATGCTGGTTTCTTTAAACTTACGAATCTGTCATTCATTGGCCATGTAGGGAAACTATTCATTGGGAAAACCTTATGGGAATGGTTATTTTTAATTCTCCCAAACCTTGAACATGTCCCACATGTTTAGCACAGAATCACAGGACACATGTGTTTGTATTGATTCATCCTGAAAGGTCAAAATCCCCCAAGGTCCACTATCTTGATGCTGAACAGTGTATACCTTCTTACACAAAAGAGGGCATTTGTCTGTGCATTGGTCTCACCTTCTCCTTGATAGGAGCCAACAGGAACTAAGGTGTGATTTGGATGCTGGGAGGGACACTTGATTCATTTGTAGACCTTGGGATGGAAGAAGAGCCAGGAGATCCTCATAAGAATGAGGAAAAAAGATGGACACATCTTGCTTTCTTCACTGGGGAAAGGATACTGCAGCTGTAGTGACATGGCTCTGTACTCCACAAGAAACACAAACACGTTGTGCATGAGACTTGTTTGCATATGTTTAGTTCCTTGGGAACAACACACTCCCTCATCAGCTCACTCATTGAGATAGCCTGGTATAGTCATCTGTTTGGCAGAACCTTGTGGCTATGGTCAAGGTGAGCCCAATTGGGAAAATGTCCCCAGGAAGTAAAAATTTTCCTGTTTTCTATCTATGCTTCTGTCAAAAATCGCAATGACATTTAGTAGTTAATAAAAAAATGGAATGCTGTATTTCAGTCTACATTCAGATTGTGGATTTTTTTCCCCCAACACTTCCCAAAGTGATACTACCTAGAAACAGATTCTTAACCTTTCTTGTGACATGCACCCCTCTGGCAATCTAGTGAAGCCTATGGACCCCTTTTCAAAATAATGCTTATAAATGCATAAGATAAAATACATAGGATTACAAAGGAAACCAATTATATTGAAATATAGTCATCAAAATATGTTTTTAAAAATTCATGGACCTCAGGATAAGGACCACTAACTTATTGGAAGATAATTGCCCTTGAGAAGGTCTGAAGATGCTGTATTCCATTTTCACCTCATAGGGGATTCGTTTTAAGTGGATGAGGGCAGCTAGATGATACAGTAGATAGAGTGCTGATTCTGGAGTCAGGAGGACTCATCTTTGTGAGTTTAAATCTGGCTTCAGACACGCAATAGCTCTGTGATCAAGCTGTGTAAGCAAGTCACTTGACCCTGTTTGCCTCAATTTCCTCATCTGTAAAATAAGCTGGAGAAGGAAATGGCAAACCACTCTAGTATCTTGTCAAGAAAATCCCAAATGGGGTTAGAAGAGTTGGACACGATTGAGCAACATTATCATCATTTAAGTGGATGAAATGTCAAGGTTGTCTTATTCCCTGAAGCTGCCTTTACATAATGCCCTTAAGCTGCATTCATAGAAATCCTTCTCAAATTGGCTGAATTTTTGTAAAGTTGGTGACCTAAGTCAACTCTTGTTTTAAAAATTTCAAGCTATCTTCTAAATATTGACATTTTTCAGTCATTTAAGCAAGTGCTAATCATGGCAAGCTATAGAACAGAGATCCTAGGTGTAGGATTTCTCAAGGAGTAGGACCTCTGGGGATTTGTCAATGTCTAGTGTATTTTCCTCTCCCTTTACCCTCCAATACCCATCCCCTGTTTCCACTCTGTTTGCTTGTTCATATATTCTCTGGGTTAATCTGGTCTATATGTTCATTCATTCAGTAGAATATATTAAGTGTCCACAATGTATCTACTTCTGTTATGGATGCTGTAAGAGATTATATAAAAGAAAAAGAAAAACCAACTTCATCTTCTAGGAGCTTACCATCATAGAACTAGAGAGTGTTAAAGTTGTAAGGGCCTTCAGTAGCCATTTAGTTCAACTGGTACCTGAGTGGGAATCCCATCTACATCAGCCATTAGAAGTGATCATCTCAGCTCAGATTCTTAAAAATCTAGCCATTGCTCAAATTCTTTAAGAGTCTGGCTAATATGATAGATGTTCTAATAAACCTTGTCTTTGGCTGAAAGAAGGCTTGGGTCAAATTCTTTCAAGCAGGACCTGCGTGCTGTGATTTTGGGGTCCCAGAACTCCTAAACCTCACCATTTTGGTGGCCCATATGGGGAAACTGCCCAACCCCAAATTCTTCTCCAGCCAAGACTGGAAGGTATGTAAGCTTCCCTCACTCCTTTCTTACCCTGCAGTTGGGGTTGCTCTCCAAGCACCTAGGAAGGCTTGGAGGTGCTTTTTGGACAGACAGTTACAAGGCTGTCTCACACTTGGCCTGATGCCCTCAGACTCTAGGTCCACTGGTTCAGTTCAAGGCCATGGACCTGGGTACACTTTCCACAGCATAGAGGACAAAGACGGATGCCATATCCAGAAGCATATGCCCAATTCTGTCAATTCTCTCGGCACTAGAGAATTGGGAAAACTGCAGGTGCTTTTTGGTTCCCGGAAGCTTACTTACTCCCTTCCCTTTATACTCCTGAATCCTCCTTCATGGAGGTTACAGGGAAAAGTTAGAACAGCTAAAAACATCTTAGCAGATTCTGGAAGTTTTGTGATCAATTATTAAGGAGTTTTGACATATCTCCTTACAACTCTAGTCATTCCCTTCTCCCACTTTCTTCCCTTGAGTTAAGAGGGTATCTGTTAATCCTTCTCATAGAAGAGAGGTTCACCTTCCCCACCCATCTGAATTTGCCCTCTACAGCATGGGGCCCACTGGCAATGACCTTGGGCCCCGGGGCAACCTTTACCTGGAAGCATCACCTAGGTTCAGCACATCCTGCTCAAAGTAAAGAAGCTAAGCCTTCAAACTTGAGTTAGCATGCCCTTTTAAAGTTCTGGTTTTAACTGTTAATGATGAGATGCTGATTCTCTATGTAAAGTAATTTAGAAATGCATTTAACAAAATTGAAGTCACGTGATTGGTAATACGTTCATTTCAAGTTTCAAACTGGTGAACTTTTTGTATCTGTTATGTCAAACAACTTTTCATAATTTGGTTATCACTAAAATAATTTGTCTGTTGTTGGTTATTGTTTTAATGTGTAAACTTGCCAAAAAGCTTGTTCGGATTTTGCCTTGCTGAAGATTTGCAAGTATATAGAAATAATCTCGAATGATTGGCTTTTTACACCAGGACAAATTTAAATTTGAGATGTAAATCCTGGGAAAGTTTTTCCTAAGCTGTGACTAGTGAAACTTGCTGTTTGAGTGTAAATGCTCATAGCATGTTATTTTGAGTTGTCTGATGGATCATAATCCATCAATAATCAATAATTCACATCTGAGAAATGCCATAAGCTACTCAGAGAGAATGTGATACTGGGGGGAAGTCACCATTTGGAAAAGCCAAGAGTACAATTTTAGCCTCAGTCTAAGATGGGATCCTCCTGGCTCAGTTTCCCCATTATGTTCCTTTGAAAAGGAATGTTACCAGGACAGCTAGGTAGTGCAGTGGATAGAGCACTGGCCCTGGATTCAGGAGGACCTGAGTTCAAATCCAGCCTCAGACATATAACACTTACTAGCTGTGTGACCCTGGGGAAGTCACTTAGCCCCATTGCCTAGCCAAAAAAAAAAAAAGAAGAAAAAGAAAGAAAGAAAAGAAAAGGAATGTGACCCACCTAGCTATTCCCGAGTCTGGCTATGAGGTAGTTTTGATACTGCAAGATTGGAACACTAAATTATCTGAATCCAAACAGAGCTAAGGATGTTTTATCCTGTCATATCTGGGCCCTGCAGTCTTTTCTGTCAGATTTGTGTCTTCCAGACTACAGGCCATTCACCTACAGTTGGTATCAGCCAATGTCCCCCCATTGTTCCCTGGATGCAGCCTGTGCTGCATCGGCTCCAGTCAACCTCCTCTTTGGGACCCCCTCGAGGCAGGGACAGCTCCATGCCCCTTGCCAGCAGGAGCAGTTTCAGAAGCTGAGACCTTTGCCCCTTACCCCAAAAGAATTTGGATCCCATTTGTTTGAGGGGGGAATGATGGGATTGGTATCTGGACCCCAGAAAGGAAAAACCCTGGACCTTCCCACAAGGCCAAATCTCTGGCATTTGCTCGAGGCTACAATCCCATCAACTGGCCTTTCACTGTGACTGCACCCAATCTCCCAATTCTCTATTACCCTTAATCTAGCCTAGCCCTCCATTATTTTACCTCCCTATGGCCCCGGCCACTTCCCACCTTTAATCCTAGCCAGGTTCCATTCTCCTTGGCCACGTGGTCCAGGTCTCTGGCATTCTAATACCTCACAGTCCCTGCAGACTACTTGGCAACCCCTAGATCTCTCCCACAGTCATTCTGTATATAAGATCCATCTTATCCCCATTAAGGTGACCAGATTCTTAAAATCTAGCCACTGCTCAGATTCTTTAAGAATCTGGCTAATATGATGGATGTTCTAATAAACCTTGTCTTTGGCTGAAAAAAAAAAGAAGTGATCATCTTTATGCCTTTTGAATTTCATTTTTGGGTGGACTACCACTATGAGACTACTGCCATAGGCTATGGGATCATACCTATTCTTTCAGTGATGCCTTTGAAATCTGCTTTCCCCAAACCCAGAGCACATGTCAGACTATTCCTGACTTTCCTCTATTTTTCTACCACAAATTCTAAAATGGAGCAGTCACTCCCCACTCTCCTCCCACAAAGTTTCTACTTCTATTTCTTCTTCAGTCAGTAGCTCCTCCTTGTTAAGAACCTAGCCCAGAGAGCAGTTCTTATTATTTCTGTCTTAGATGGAGAGAAACAATATATACATTCAACCAACTGAGCAAGCAATCAATAAGTATTATTTAGCATCTCCTATGTGCCAGGCACTGTGTTAGGCACTCTATATATGAGTACAAAGAATGAAACAATCCCTACTTATAAGTATGTGTACATATATACATATAATGTAATATATAATATAACTATATATAATGCAGCACAAAGAATACAGACTAAGTGAATAAGCATGAATATATACAAAGTAGTTAAATATAAGGAAGTTTGCTAGGGAAGTCACTAGTAGTTGAGAGGATCAGGAAGAGCTTCACATAGAAGATGATGCCTGAGCTGGGTCTCTAAAGGAAGAGAGGGACTCCGTGAGGCAAAAGTAAGGAGACAGTGCATTATAGGCATAGAGGGTGGTAAAAGTAGACACCAAGATGGGAGATAGAGTGTTTTGTTTAAGGAAAGAGGGGAAAAAGCTGGTTTGGTCAGATTGCAGAGTATGGGAGGGGGAGTAAGGTCCAATGTAGCTGAAAAGATAAGTTGGGATCAGGTTGAGTAGGGCTTTAAAGACTAAATGGGATTTATGTTTTATCTTAGAGGCTGTTAAGAAGTCACTTGCTGAGTCATTTTTTGGTCATGTCCAACTCTTCATGACCCCTTTTGGAGTGTTCTTGGCAAAGATACTGGAGTGGTTTACCATTTCCTTCTCCAGCTCATTTTATAGATGAGGAAATTGAGGCAAACAGGATTAAGTGACTTGCCCAGGGTCACACAGCTAGTAAGTGTCTGAGGCCAGATTTGAACTCAGGAAGATGAGTCTTCCTGACTCCAGGCCCAGTATGCTATCCACTGTACAACCTAGCTGCCTTAGGGGTTAAATCATGGAGTCACATGGTCAGGTCTATGCTTAAGGAAAGTTATTTCTGTAACAATGTGATGGATGGTCTAGGATGGTAAGCAAAGAGACAGATTAGGAAGTTGTTGTAGTAATATATGCAATTGATGAAG